TTCATGATAGGTGCAAAGGTAATTTTAAGGAGAATGGTTAATGTTCTCACTCAACAAATATTTCTGAAACAGATATTATTTGCAAAAAAGTAGACTTCAGCCCATACCTCATACCACACACAAAAATTAACTCCAAATGAGTCATAGACCTAAATTTCAACCCTAAAATTTCTGGACAAAAATATAGGAGAATATATTTGTGAGCTCAGGTTAGATAAAGATTCCGGTATGTGACACAAGAAATGTAATACATAAAAGAAAAAAAATCAATAAATTGGACTTTATCAAAGTCACAAATATGTTTTTCAAAAGTTACTGTTTAGAGAATGCAAAGACAAAACATGAATTGGAAGAAAATATTCATAATTAGTATATCTGATAAGCACCTGTATTAAGATATATTAAGAAACCTCAAAACTCAATTTTTTAAAAAAATAGGTCAAATGTGTGAACAAATAATAGATCTGGATGTCAAATAAATGCATGGAAAAATGCTCAACATCATTTGTCATTAGGGAAAAAGCAAATTGAAATCAAAGATCACCACATATAAAATGGCACAACCACTTTGGAAGAGAATAGAGACTTTCTTTCAAATTAAATATTCAGCTACTATATGATCCAGCCATTCTGTTCCTAAGCATTAATCCCCAAAGAAATGAGAACAGGTCCATGCAAAGATTTATACACAGATGTTCACAGTATTTTTATTTGTAATAGCCAAATACAAATAGCCAAGCAGCCAATTCCAATAGTAGAATCAACCCAAAAGTCCAGGTGTAGGTAAAAGCATAAACAAACTATGGCATAACATTTGATTGACTACTCAGAAATCAAGAGTGAATTATTGATGCATGCTACAAGAAGGAACCTCAAAATAATTACACTGAGTGAAAGAAGACAGATCAAGAGAGAGAGAGAAAAAAAAACCCTGCCATATGAGTCCATTTATATAACATTCTAGAAAGTGTAAAGTAAAATTGACAGAAAGAAGATCCATGGTTACCTAATGATGGTGGGGAAGAGGCAAGAAAGGGGAAGAAAGGAGGGGTTACACAGAATGGGAGGAAACATTTGGGGCGATGAGAGGCTCACTATCTTGATTGCAATGGTGAGCACATATATCAGAAGGTATCAGATTGCCTATTTTAAACATCTTCAGTTTATTGAATGTCATTTATATCTCAATAGAACTATCTTTTAAAAACCTTTCAAAAAAGGTTTGAGACAGGCTATCTGTGCAGTCTAAAAATATCTCCCTGTAAGACAAATAATGATTACAAAGGTACAAACGATGGGAACTTTATAGCAGAGAAATCTAGCAGACTCTACTTTAACACCAGTGTTAACAGCACCAGGAAGATGGCATTGACCCCAGGTACCTCCTGATAGGCTGCACAGAGGTCACCAAAACACTTTTGTGATATTTTTGCCAAAAAATGTGTGATCTAAACCTAATCATGAGAAAAATCAGAGAAAAGTAAATTGCAGGCAATCCTTTAAAAAGAAAAATAACTGGTAATCCTCTTCAATAGACAGACTGAGGAATTTAAGGGAACGGCAGAGATTGAGGAGAAATAACGACCAAATGCAATCAGGAATTGTGGAGTGGATCTTGTACCAGCAAAGGAACTGGGCAGGACAGTAGGATAAATTTAAATAAGATGGGTAGATTATTTAATACCATAATACCAATGTTAATCTCCCAGTTTGGGTAATTATATAAAATGTTAACATCGGGGATGCTACCTGAAGGGTATGGAGGAAAAATAATCTTTGACTATTTTTGTAACTTTTTTGTAAGTTTAAAATCATTTCAAAACACTTTAAAAACTGAAGACAAAATAAAGACATTTTCAGGCAAACAAAAGCTGAGGGAACTTGTCATCAGCAGACCTGCAATAAGAAAAATGTGTTAAAGGAAATTCTTCTGGCTAAAAGAAAATAGTACCAGATGGAACCCAAGAGATACACAAAAGGATGAAAAAAATGCTGGAAATGTTAAATTTATGGCGAGTATAAAAGAGAGATAAACTTGTTTTTTTGTTGTTATTGTTTCTTTAAGATGATGAGCTTTTCAAAGCACAAATAGTAACAATGCATTGTGGGGTTAGTTACAAGGAAAACACATGGCAAGAGCACTTGTGATGGGATGAAAACAGAATTTTGCTTCCCAGGCGTGGTGGCAGCACACAGCTGTAATCCCAGCAACTGGGGAAGGGAGGCAGGAGGACAACAGGTCAAGGCCAGCCTCAGCAAATAGTGAGGCCTTAAACAAATTCGTGAGACCCTGTCTCAAAATAGAAAATAAAGGGGGCTGGGCATTCCCTGGGGTTGAACCCCTGGTAGCACCCACCATTTTTTTTTTTTTTTTTGCTATTGGTGGGCATTTATATTTTGCATGAAATATGAAACACTTAAAGGTAAGTTTGATGAGTTAAGGATTTATTGTAAATCTTAAACTCTAGGACTAGGACAAAAACTAAAACACTTTAAAAATAGGTGTAACAAGCATCACAGGTTACACCTGTTTTATCTATACAAATATGACTCTACTAATCTGCTCCTTGGTATTTATATTTAAACATTTGAAATACATATAACAGGCATAACAGATATTCATCTTTTTTGGATATTCAGCCTTTTATTTCTCTTTTTTAAAATTCTAATTTGTTACATATGACGGCAGAATGCACTACAGTTCATATTACACATATAGAACACAATTTTTCATATCTCTGGTTGTCTTGAAGAACTAAGTCATCGTCCTACAGTGATACATGCATACCCATGTTTATAGCAGCACAATTCACAATAGCCAAACTATGGAACCAGCCTAGGCATCCATCAACAGATGAGTGGATAAAGAAAACGTGGTGTATGTATACATAATGAAGTTTTTATTCAATCATAAAGAAAAATGAAATCATGTCATTTGCAGAAAAATGAATGGAACTCAAGACCATCATGTTAAGCAAAATAAGCCAAACTCAGAAGGTCAAGTGTTATATGTGGAAGCTAGAGAGGGAAAAAGGAAGAGAAAGCTGGGGAGGGGGTGATTTTGCATGAAAGGCTAAGGGAGGTCAATAGAATAGAGAAAAGAGACCAAGGAGTAGGAAGAGGAAGGGTACAGAAGTGTTAGAGAGTGGGCCAAATTATGTTGTTATAGTGTGTGTGTTATGTGCTAATAGTCCCAGATGGAACTACACATCTACCTCAACATCTCAAATGAAAAAAACCGACACTGCCCAGCACTGGCAGTGATGTGGAACAACCACAAGTCTTACACACTGTCATCAGGATGTAAACTACAACCACTGTGGAATTTCTTGTATGAAGTCTGGTGACTTCTTATAAACAGATACATATTCATATGATCCAAAAATCCCACCCAAAAGAAAGAAAGCATATATCTATAAAAGGACTTACACACGTGATCATGACAACTTTATTTGTAATATTTCCCAACTGGAAATAACCATGAAGCCCATGCATTGTTAAACAGATAAATAAACTGTGGTATATTCATAAAATGGAAAACCAGCAATACAAATACAAACAACTGATACAACAAACACAGATGAATCTCAAAAACATAATTCTAGGAGGGAAAAAAAAAGAAAAGAGTACATACAATGATTCCATTTATGAATTTCCTGAGCAGGCAAAACTCCTGGGGAGTGGGATTGATGGAGTACACTGCAGAGGTACAAAGGGACTTTGGAAATGATGAACATACTCCTCTCACTTTTAGATTTTGAAAACAGTTGATCTTGTCTTAATTTGGCCTTGCAGAACGGTTAGATATAGAGACAGTGGTAGAGATGGGAAGGAACAGTATGGTATTCTACCTAGTGCCAAAAGGGTGAGCAGAGCCACCCAAACTGAGGAATTAGAGTGAAAGTGGGGAACAGCTAGTGGGTATTTTTAATAAACTTTATTGAGGCATAATTAGCATCCAGCAAGATGCACCCAGTTTAAGTTAAAAGTTGATGGATTTTTAGAAATGTGCAAGGACCCATATGACCACCCTCTCATAGAAAGCTTCCTTTTAAAAATTACTTCAAGCTGTTTACATGTTTAGTAATCATATTTTATTAAAACAAAACAGTTTTGAGGCACTAGACAATGAAACATAGGCCTTGGAATCAGCTCTAGATTTAAATCCTACTTCTAGAGCAGGTCACTTAATTTCTCAAAAGTCTCAGTTTCCTCATTTATAGAATGGTAATATTACTAAAACCAATGACACAAGATTGTTGTGAAGATTAAAAGAAATAATGTTAAACTTCTAGCAATATGCCTGGAACATAGTAGGACCACTAAATGGTATTGGCCTTTTCGTGACCACATAGGCACGTGTTGCATGGTTATCCCGTAGTCCCTAGTTATGGTATTAACTACGGAACCTGCCAAAGGCTTTGAGATGGTCCTAAATGAATCTGTTGAAAGACTAATCCAAATGGCAGTTCTGAGTTCCGCTCCCCTGCTGTTTCTACTTCACATTCAGTGGTGACAGAGCCAAAGTATTTCACGCTTAAACATTTTGCTTCGAGACAGAACAGGCCATTTGAGAATCAATTCTGGAACACATTTAAAACAGGACTTTTAAAAGGTTTCGTCCTCAGGTCGTCAGACCTGCTGTCTGGGCTTTAAGTGGAGCCTGACCCCCCTCATTTCATACCGCTGGGAGCCAGAGATGCTCGGCCTCTAGGATCCCCTCAAATGGCCCTGCTGTGGGCTCGACCACCTGCTCCATCCCACTGGCTGGCCGGTGCCCTGACTCTGATCCAGCTCCAATACCTGCCTTGGGCCGGTCTCCTGGGGTCAGGACCTGTCGCCCCACCCATACAACTCTGCAAGTTGCCATGATGGTCACCAACACCTTGTCAGGATCAGCTTCCTGGAATGCCCGAGGCCCAGCTCCCAGCACACAGGAGCCAGGGCACAGTCACAAGCATGATCTAATTCAAGGGTCACGGGGATGGAGTGCCATCTACCTGAGTGACAAAGAGCTGGAACTCCTCTGGCAGAATCCATGAGCGAGGATAGAAGTTGTACTCCTCAGGAAAGAGATTCTGCATCATTCTGACTGCTCTGCTCAGGGTCACTTTGCGCAACATCTCCGTCATGCCTGGGGAGAAGAGAAGCTGTGAGGTTGGAGCAACGGGGAGGCATCAGTTATAAAGCAGCCATTATCCGGGATTTTAAAACCACTCGCCCCCCGCCCCATAATCACTTTTTTCAAGCAGCATTTAAAAACAGGTCTGAACTGTTCCCCATAGCACTGATTCATGATTTGGAAAGCTCTACCAAATTCATGAAAATGGATGGATTTTTTTTCTCCCTATAAAAACGAAGCATCAGTTTGAAAGGATGAATTTTCACCTAGTTTATTATTCTATTATTTGTCCTCCCCGGGGGTAATGAATAGAGAAGCATTTCTATCTTGCACTTAAAACTTAATACCCTCTTTAATTTGGGGCCAGAACACATAATTCTGGGATTCCTTCTATCTTGTACCCTAGAGAATATTATCTAGTGCACTCTGGTGACATTGTGAGAAGTTTAATTAAGTTGCTTTGTTTTAATCTTTCACGGGTATTAAAAGCATAAAATGGAAATACACACCTTTCGGCATAAAATCTGTCTCCTTGAACCAAGGACAGGAAGTGGAAAGGAAACCATAGCATAATTTATAGTTTAACAGGGAAAATGAATTCATAGGAGTTCTTCAGTTATAAGCACTGACATTGACATTGATCAGCTCTCATTAATTTACCCAGAGGGGACTGAAATGTCTCACTTGAAAAACACTTTAAAAGAATGGTGGATTTTTTTCCCCCTTGTAACATCATTAGTAACTCTGACAAGAAACTGAGCATAAATCTTAGCAAAGTTTAAGCAAATAGGTAAAAAATTATTATCAATTTTAGCCTCCTTGTTTCTTAAGGCAAATGTCACTACTAAAAATGGAGGCTAAAAATAACCTTCACCCTGAAAAAGACTAAACAGTCCCATGACGGAAACTAGAAATTTGCTTAGCACAATTATTTTTAATAGAGAGTCCAGAATTCCATGTCCGCTTGGCATGCCCAAGTTACCGCACATTCCAAATGGGCTCCGTCAGGATGAATGAGGTTTCTCCCAACACCCACATTCAGGAAGCAAATGAACTTCTAAGAAGGCAGGTCTTAATAACCTACTTCTTGCTTCCCTCTGCATATTAAAGAGAGCAATAAATCTAAAGATTGCAGCTTCAAGGTGTCAATGCCCAAGTTCTTAGCTCCTGTTTGGAAGGATATAGGGCAGGATTAAGGTAGGAATAAAAGAGCTTAGGAAGTACCAGTTAACTGTGCTCTGATGTGGACTCTTCGATGTTAAAGAAAACTCACCGAGAATGCTGTCCTGAGGATTCCAAGAAACGAGCATGGAAAATCATAGCTATTTCCTTTTATCCCCATCCCCAGTGGAATTTTTGAGTTATAAACACCACAGCTAAAGGCCAGGTGAACAAAACAAAATTTCAACAGGTTTGATTGAACCTTTCTGCTTATATTCGACTTCCATTTTAGTTACAGTATTAAATCAAAAATCTTCCAAGCTAACTGTAATGTAACAAGTCCTCACACCCAGTAGAAATGGTGGCTCCTAACCAAACAGTGTTGTGGTATTTCTGCATTTTCATGGCAGTGTGACAGGTTCTCTTTCTGAAACCCCTCAGCAGGTCAGAAGGAAATGAACAATTCAGACAGAAGTGCTGTGAATACAGGGGGGCAGTGGAAAGCTCCAGAAAAGTCTCATGAATGTCAGTGTCCAGCCAGTGGAGGAACCGCTCATTCTCAGTCTGCACGGCTCCTTCTGTAATGTGCACCCTCAGTCCCACCAGCTGACAGATGTTTCCAGGTTTGTACTTCCAGGCAGCCAACTTAGGAAGCACCTCTATGGCCAATGGCTACTTGCCCTGGTACTCCTGCCTGCAGAGGGCAGCTGCTCACCCCTAACTCTGCCTGAATGCCTGTCCCCAGGAGGCACCGGATGAGCCCTCCCTCACCCTCCTGCTACCTAAGACTTTGTTCCTCTCCATATCTAAGCCATGGTCCCATCCAGTGCTGCCTGGGAAAGAGTCTCAGGCCCTCACAAACCCCTCACAGAAGTTGCTGACATCCGGCCTCTGCAGGTAGCCCAGAGACAGGTGTGGAAGTGGCGCCTTCTCACACTACAACCCTGACAAGAGTGGACTCATGCTCCCCAAGTAACTGAGTGACAGGGAGGTGGCTGCC